TGAATGTGCAAGAAAATTTCTATTCCACATATGCAAGAAAATTCCTTCATCAATGAATATATAAGACTCACTGCGCAAAAGCATATAGAGTAAAATCTCCGGTAACCGGGTCTCAATTGACTAGCAGTTTCAAAATAACGGCACGTTTGAAGATCTAAATTTAAATCCGTAATTTAGGCCCATGAAGTAAAAATTATGTTCAATAGGCTAATAAAAGGAAAATATAAATGCGGGAAAACATTTATGTTGTGTTCCCGCCGCTCAACGTAACAAGCCTTATCCAACGAATTTTAGACGAAGGAATTATCTAGAATGTAGAGAGAAACTACGGCCTTCTTTCATGCATCAATGTGTGAACTTTGAAGGTAGTTTCCATGATTTACGGAAACAATGCACCTTTAAAGACGCCATATTTACTTTGTCCCTTGCTTGGAAAGACGTGATCATATTCGTAAATGACGGCTTGAGTGACAAAGATTCTCTTAATTTTAAAATAAGCTTAGCGCTCGTGGCCCAAATCCTAAATTTAGTTATACGCTCGGGAGAAGGTTATTATTAATGAGGAAAAGATGAGGGTCTGGGTAGATGTGAAGAATCCTGTTTCCGTCAAACTTTTTCAAGATAATTGACGGAGAGGAAGGAGAGGGTGAACGCGACACACAGGAATCCAGGAGGGTTGCAACACATTCGCATATTACATTACATTACACAGAGATATTTCAAATTAAATTGGTGAAGAATTGCAGACTTTCATAAGATTCGCCGAGAAATGTTCATTTGTGTTAGTACTGCATCTGTATTAGCAGCTTTTTAAAACTACGGCAAAAATCTTGTAAGCAAGCAGACATTCGTAAATATGTGTTATCACGCTAAGAAAAAAATTCGTATCATTCATGGGATAATAAATACGGAAATTTTAAAATATATGTAAATTTTGTTTTTCTGAAATAGGAAATCATGCGTATATGTTTTAGTTTAAAATAATATGTACGATTTCTGATATTATTCATTTAGTTGTGGCCGATGCATCAAAATACCTGACAAACAAACTTCGCCTGCTACAATTTGGACAGATGACATCAAAAAACATAAACAAGTAAGTTCTAGAAATATATAGTCTGTTATCCGAAAAAATATCTTATCCGGAATCAACGAGGTTCTGTTTCTGCCGGTTAAAAGATATTCTAATGAAGACGAAGCATCAAATAAGGAAACTATTTAATAATAAAAAAAGTAGTAAAAACATCTTCAGGGTCTAAAGCTAGTAAGAATTTCCTTGCCTGAAAACTTTGGTGCTGCCATCTGTTGGAGCAGGAAACGCATAAAAATTCCTTTACATTTTTTCCTAATTTCCGGGTCATTTCTGGTGCAGTACTTCGTTTTTGCAATATATATTCCTTTAAATGTACCACTGAATTTGATTTCTATGAATACTATCGAAAACAGAATTCTTTAAATTGAGTTAAAAAAATTGGAACAAATAACAGATATAATTCAGTGATAATTCTCCCACAATGATAAACAGCATAATGTACAATATAGTAGTGTCACCGAATTTTGTCGTATAAACACGTCATTGACTTCTATACGAATTCTTACAGCTGAAAAAGCATGCATTGATGAAATCATGAATTTTAATTTGCTTTTAGGAAGCCAGACCAGTAATAATTGCAGCTAGAAATCTTAGAATGCCGCACAGGTTTCTAATGTTGATACTTTTCTTTTTAATATCACTTCTATAAAGATACCACTCTTTATGTTCAGCTGTTAACATCTATGCTTGTACTGTTCAGTTCCTTTACTTCTAAAAGTTCTTCTATTAGACGAATAAGATAGCCACATGTGACATCTTTCTTGTTCTATAAGTTAGTAGATTAAACATCATGACTATCAATTCCTTTATTTCGGTGCTTATGATTTTCTAATGAGGTTTTCTCTACTCGCGTGTAAAACGACAATCCAGAATTCATTTTTGCAATAAGAAATTTAGAAAATAATTTAGAAATGCCGTTATTTTATACATGTAACGTTTTGTTTGAAATTTGGAAATTGGTTGCTTTTCTTTACATTTGCATGGTAATATCCCAATGCTTTGACTGTTTTAGAATTTCCGGCTAATTCTCTGTTTTATTAAAAAAAATTGGACTGAATTTACACATCCTGTTATTGAGCTATACGTGACTTAAAAACTGCTTTCTTTTTTTAACTAAGTTTGTAAATATTTCACATAAAGAAAATGTTACAGTTTATTTTCCTAATTTACTCCAGGCCTGAAATAGGGAAGATGGCTTTCGAAATCTTCATTCGAATAAGTACCATACTCACACTTGACTCAAATCAAAATATATTAATACAAATCTGAAAAATACAACTGATAAGGATTTCTTTGAAAAAGAATTGAGAAAATTTTATGAAATTATAGAGTAAATAGAAGCATGGACACATCGGAATATTACTGATTCTTTCTCAATGAATTTGATGCCTCCCACAGAGCTGCTGGAAAGGACATTATGCTGCTACTTAAAAAAAACTTTGATGATTATTACTGGATGATCATACTGAGAATGAATAACCAGGAATAATGAATAATAAACTTCCTTAAAAGACTATAACTTTTCTGGAGCTGTTTACAATGAGTGTTAAGAAGTATTGCAGAGACTCGTCCAATGTATAAAAATCTGAAGAAATTTGTGTTAATAAAGTTATAAAACTGAAAAATGCACAATAGAAATAGTTTTCTATTTTTCTAGCAACAATGATGATTTCAAAGCTGATTAAATGCAATTAAACTATGAATAAATGTATTTATTAAATATGTTTGCAGAATTACTGTATGAATTTTTTTGCATTCCTCGTTAGATTCAATACCGAAAACAAAAATTGATTTTTAATGTTATATATATATTTTTTTGATAATCCAAAATATTTGTTAATCCGTCATCAGTGAAGTCCCGAACCTGCCGTGTTATCATTTATGAAATGTAAGGATGTCCAGGAAAAGCGGGCCACCAGAGAATCTGCACTTGTCCTAAGCACTGTTGATTGTTACACTGTTACACGCGGAGTGTAGTGAAGTGCGTAGCTGATTACTACTACAGAGCAGTGTTCGCCATGAAAAACAGATCTGAGAGTTATTCTCAGTATCCATATGCGCATTGTATCTCCTCCCTGAAAAATGTAAAAGGAACTAACTATACCAAATTCAGTCTTGCAGTCCCATCGGTGTAAATGTCTTCTGCATTCAAACCACGAAGTGTTGTAGTCCAAGTCCACTTTGTTTGATTGACCATCTGAATACATGATAGCTAAACTAAGTGTTATTTACTACATTTCTAATTTCTGAAACTTGCATGTCTCCAATTTGTAAATAAGATCTATTAATTCATTACAGTGTAATGGCGAAACAAATGGGATGCGGTGAGATTGCTAATGAGAATAAATAATTCTTTTCCTGCTGAATTTTAAACACTAATTTGAGTTTATATATTATATTGCGATTTATTTATGTTTTCAAAACTATTAACTTATTCATAATTTTAAATTATGGCTTAAGTTTATTAATAACTTTCATAATACTAAATCTTATATTAATTTGTTTTTATTTTTTAGCAGAATAATGCTATTGAATCATTTTGATAATATACAAAAGGATTCAGTTATAACAACAGCTTTTGTTGAAATATATTAAACTTAACTACTGTGAGCGGTCTTAGACACCGCTGAGGATTTTCTAACTGTTGTTTCCACCTCTAAAAACGGAGAATGTCCCTGTCCTTCTTTTTATCTTCCCAAACCCGTCCCCCAAGGTCTCATATCCGGTTTCACACTTCTAGCTTTATTATGGTTTCAGTTACCACGTTTTTTACTTTTTAAGTGGTCTAGGAGACTGCTCACAGCAGATGCGTACCAGTTTTAGTGGACGATAGGCGTTATAGTATATCGGATGCTTGTTTTTCGTAAAAGTGATAAATATGGCTTCATATTTCACAAGAAACGTCCCGTATATCTCACTCAAAAATAAATTGAATGTCTTGTCAACAATATTTTTTATGTAGAATACTCTGATTCTGGAGAATTATATAGCGAAAGCAAAAGTGAATCTGAGCTTTTTGCAGATGAAAATTTTATGCTTTATTAGCTAATCCGTTTATTAAACCGCATCTGAAAGTTGGTATAACTTCAGCTTTTTTGCCAAGGGAACTGAAGGTAGCAATTAGAAGAATACTTGGAAATTCAGAGAATGGATTTATCAAATCAAGAAGGAAAATTAGAAGAAAGAAAAACATGTAATCTGTGCCTACTTTGTAAGAAGAGAAAAACAGCATACAAATGCTTGGAATGCAAGGAACCAGTGTGTCTTCAGTGCTCTCAGAAAATGTGTTTTGACTGCATATCATCTTACGATTAATCCTTGTAAACAAAGATAAACTAATATATTATTTTTAATAATTAAATTCATTGTTGTAGAATTATGGTTTCATTGACAGTAATGCTTAAGAAAAGTCACATATTTTCATGCATGTTTAATAAAATATTTTGTTCTTTAAAAAGCTTTGTTCCATAAAGCCAAGAAAATAGTCATTTTTATATGAATTTAACTGAGTAAAATTAAAAGATTTATGTTTAAAATATATTGATTTAAATGAATTAGTATTACATAAATATGCATAAGGTATCTATAACATTCCTTAAAAAGGCATAAAAGTATGTCTTTTTAAGCGTTTCTTTAAAGCGGTCTGTGAGACCGCTCACAGTAATTATGCCGAGAAATTTGTCACAGCAGTTAAAGGTTAAATAGGCTTTTGATTTTGATAATATGTGAAGACATAGAAGCGTTCATAATAATTAAAAATGTATTCTATGCGCTCTGATTATTTATACACATTCTACATGCTCTCTTATATATGTTGTAAATTTGTGTATATACAGTGAAATGAGTTTGCATTAATAAGTTATTGCGCAAGATCATTAAATCCTTAATGTAGAAAGCATACGAAACATTTGTCTTAAAAGCTTACATATTTATTTTTTGCCTTCGAAATTCAACAATCTTCAGGTTTTACACAGTACTGGTCAGACTCTCGTCTAACGGTTCCGTTTGGACAGAAGCACCCTCTGACGCATTGCATAGTGCAAGGACGGACTTCGTTGTAGTTACTGCAAGTATCAGGACAGGCTGATCCACAGCTCTTGAATACTTCGCCTCTCTCGGGATAACAAATGCCTATATCTTCTCTTGCTAAAAATAAGAATGAGAATTATAATTATAGAAATACATATTACACTAACAAAAAAGTTTCAAATACTCTTTTTTTCCTAAAGTACATTAAAGCTTAAGCTCTTTGGTTCGAAATTTCCAACGCTTTTCTGTTTAGAACATTTTATGTAAGCAAGATGCTAAATATAATTACACTGATATGACTATAATGATTAACAGTACTTCTTGATATGAATTTTAACCCAAGTATCTGGCTGTTTCTCCCTTTTGTTTACCTTCGCATGTTATGTTCATTATATTTATAAACAACAGTTTTAACTTATATTACAAGTTTCCAAGACTCAGATGTTTTGCCCGTGAGATAAAATTGAGATTTATTTAATAAGAAACAAGTTCGGATGAGATCAAGGTTACTTCTCGCTCTAAAGATTTATTCTGTGGAAACATACTCATGTTTCTAATAGAGGGTGTTTCATAGATCATGGGACAAACTTGGAGGGGGTGGTGGAGCGTACTAAAACATGCATTTTTTTATAGGAATGTAGTCTCTAAAGTGACGGGTTAAGGCAGGAACGCAAAAAAACGACTCGAGAGGGAAATGTGTTTATGTACAAAATCAACGCAAAGTGCTTCTTTGCAGCAATACAGTATTCACAACAAATGTTCAAAAAAGGGAACACTAACAGTAATAGGAACTACAGCTGTGATTAGTTGGCAATGCAGCGGTAGAGGGCGGTAGTGAGCCGCACAAACCACGATCCGATATATCAGAGGATCATTCGCAACTCTGATGTCGAGCGTGATGAGTGAGCTTACGCACAGGGAAAAGCTGACGTGCATCTCATGTATGATGTTGCTAATGGGAACGGCAGAGCAGTGCTACGGTTGTACCAGGAACGGTTTCCGAACAGGCGTATGCCAAAGCACACAATGTTCGAGAGGTTGCATCGGTCTCTGTGTGAAAACGAATCATTTGAAGCCATCTCTGACACTAGGAGTGGAAGGAGTGCACGACAACCTCACATTGAAGAATCCATCTTGAACATTGCGCATGAATCACCTCAGACAAGTACAAGAGCTATTACACGTCATCTGCAGCTGAGTCATTCCACCGTTTGGAGAGTATTGCATGAAAATGGTTTGCCCCCATAGCATTTGCAGAGAGTCCAAGCCTTGCAAGAAACAGATTACCCTCTTTGAGTTCATTTCTGTCATTTCCTTGCAGCAGTTTGCGGCGCAGACGAATTTCCCATCGGATGTGCTATTCACGGACGAGGCAACTTTCTCACAGGTCGACATCTTCAATAGCCACAACATGCACGTGTGGGCAACTCATAATCTACACGTCACACGTCCACATGCATTCCAAACCCGCTTCTCCGTGAATGTGTGGGCGGGTATTGTTAACGACTACCTCATAGGCCCATACCTCTTACCTGCACGTACAAATGACTTATGTTATCATTTTTTCTGCAAGAGGTGCTACCGGAATTGCTGCAGGATGTTCCGACTGTCGTTCGTGATCGCATGTGGTTCCAGCATGATGGTGCACCAGCCCATAACCACGTGCGGGTCCACAATTACTTGAATGGGACATTTCCGGCCGATGGATTGGCCGTAGTGGACCCGTTCGATGGGCACCCTGTTCGCTAGATTTATCCAGCTTGGATTTTTTCATGGGACCATCTGAAGAGCATCATTTATGAGACTCCCGTTGACTTACTGGACGACCTCGTTGCACGACTATCCATTGTGGCTGCAAGCGTGCGCGAAATGCCTGTCGTTTTACAAAATATTCGTCAATCCCTTCTGCGACGTTACCAAGCATGTATTGCTGCTGGTGGTCGCAATTTTGAACACTTATTGTGAATACTGTATTACTACAAAGAAGCACTTTGCGTTGATTTTGTACATAAACACATTTTCTTCTCGTGTCGGTTTTCCCCCCGTTCCTGCCTTAACCCGTCACTTTAGACCCTACATTCCTATAAAAAAATGCATATTTTAGTATGCTCCACCACCTCTCCAAGTTTGTCCCATGATCTATGAAACACCCTGTATGTGAATTTACGCTTAAGTGCAGATTTGTAATGCATCTTCGTATATACTTTACTTCGTAACCCGAGTGAGGTTTACAATAATTTAAGTTTGTTAGTTTATACTTTTGTGTTTCTTAAAATGTTTATCTTGACTATCTAACTTCCTTAAAATAGTTAAATAACTGAAGTTAAGTTCAATAGTATTAGTTCCGGGCATAATGTTTCCTTACTTTACAATATTATTTAAGAAGCTTTCCATTTCATGCATATATTTTTATATTTTTTCAAAGCGTAGCCTGAATAAAACCATTTCCCCTTACAAAAGAACATCTCTTCTGTTCAATAGTCAAGCAAACAACTGAAAAATATCGATAAACTGAGCAAGTAATGAGCACATTTTTTTAATATTTTGTTCGTATGGTAAAGAAGTATTGTTTACAACGTTGTAAAGCCTTAATTCTTTCATTTGAATATCACCTAGAGAATATCTTATTTGAATATCACCTAGAAAATATCTTATTTGAATATCACCTATGAAATATCTTATTTTAATATCACCTATAAAAGTGATTGTTCCCCTAATATACAATTTCAATAAAGAAATTTAACTAACTCAAAATATAATATTACTAGCATGTAAATTTCTAGCAGATCCCTCTCTAGCATGTAGGAAACGTTTACCAGTGAACAACAGCATAGAAATATTGCTAGCACGAATTTACTTTATTAATGTCTTAATTAGTAAGCATTAGAAGGAAAATATAAACATAGTTACTCATATCCATTTCAATACCTAATATTATTTTATAATAAAACGTAATATTATTTCATAATATTAGGTTTTCTAACATTTTTGTAATATTTTCATAGTATGATATATTTTCCAATGCATTTCATCTTGCTTCCTAACTATTTTATCTAAGATGTTCCGTTCATAGAACATCGTCACTTTGTTAATACACTGGTCAACAAAGTTAGTGGAACACTATTATTAAACGATTTTATCCAAAGCATTCGAGTAAAATATTATTTAACTGTTATAAGATTCTCTCGAGTAATTAAAAGAGAGCTTATAAAAAGGAGTTTGAAATGCAAATTAGTAGCAAAGACGCCAATACTGATTTCGATGAGAAAATCGTAAAACATAATTGGTTCTTTCAGAGCTGAACGTTACACGGCTTTTCACTGGAGAAGCAATTTTTTTATGTCTGTCTCGTGTTAGCATGAAGATTCAACACGAGTTCCTATAAACTAGGACAGCTATGGGCTAGTTGTAACAAGGATAAATTAACGCACATTATTATTAACACATTAGCATTATTGTAACACGCCCATTACACACTTATTTTTTTTTTTTTAATGTTTCATCAGAATTTTTACTGGACATGATTTTTACGACTATTACGCAAGCACAATCAGTGCCCCAATGAAAGAGTAGTGAGGGTTTGCAAGGAAGTGCTCTGTCTTAAGTAGTTAATGGAAAATTAATATATTTCCTAAATTTTGATTTAAATTAAGCTAATTTATCTTTTTTAAAGTTATTTTAGCTATTAATTTTTTCTATGTGAAAAATTTTAAAATCCTGCTGTATTTTTTTACTAATTGCAATATTTTTTATAAATGAACAAAAGTCTCCAAAACCATACGACGGGGCAAGTTGTAACATGTTACAGCTTTCCCCGAGATTTTAATTCATGTAGTTAGGCTTTCTTCTTTAAATGTTAATATGCAAATACTCTTTCCTATTTAGTTTTCTTTCTCAAAATATAAACATTGAGATTCTACACTCAGAAATTAAATATCTCCTTAGGGATTCACCTCGGAAACAATGTAACAGCAGCCCACGCAAAAGGAAATCTGCCGTCCTGACACAGCCGGGCCACACGTTAAATGCGTGAGAGGAGACAATTTAGCATTTATTTCTGTTAATTGAAATTCTTATGAAGACTGAATTTTATGTTGATTTATATGGTATTTCTCCCACTTCCCTAGCGTACCTTCGTGGTGTAACGGTAGCACGCTAAGCTGGTATTCCAGAGGTACGTGGTTCGATTCCTGGCGAAGGTGGTTGCATATTCTTTCATCTTTTCTGCTTCCAATTAACCTAATGACTCTACAGATTGCTTAAATAATGTTATCTTTGTTTCACTATAAACTGCTTGATATCATTCAGTGACCCCATATCAAGTACTAATAAACACCAAATATTTTTTTTAAATACTGTTTTTTTTTTTTTTTTTTTTTTTTTTTTTTTTTTTTGGTGTGGTGTGTGTGTGTGTGTGTGACTACGTTTTGTCAGTTCTGTTACTATTTGTCCCAAGATCATCACAAATTTTAACAAACGAATAGTTTTTGCAAAATACTTTTTGTGCTAAAATCAACAATATTACCGAAAGTATGTTTTGTGAGTATGATGAAGGGATAGTTATGCTATAAAAAACAGCAGTTATAATCCAGGAATCGTAAATACACCTAAAAATATAAAACTTTTCCAAAAGCACAGTGATTCTCAAACTGTTTTGTTCCTTCACCATTGAGAGAAGATCACTTCCCCCTCTTTCCCAAACTCGGAATCTAGACATACACTTATTTAGATTAGTATAGACAATATTGATATATACCAAAACTTGGAATAAAAGTAATTGTTTATAATCTAAGACTAAATAATTAACAGGTACGTAAAAGGCTGAACACAGTTCCCCTTCTGAAGCTATGAAACCATCCTGGTTGAGAAGCTCTGAACTGCCCTCTAGCTCTCTACATGACGAACCATAAAAGACTGGAAATTGATCGAAGCTTAATGGATCGTTACGTCCGCCATTGGATGCAAAAACAACGGCAACTAGCAGATCAGCTATACAAATAATTCGCAAAAGCAGCCTTCCTTGTGGACAGTATTAATCCAGGAATCGTAAAAATATAGGAATCCCCTTTTAAAGGACGACTGGGGTTTGAGGGGACCCCAAACGCCAAATCCTGGTG